GCCTACGTACAATAAACACAGAGCGAACGTTAGCGCAGAGCCTGGCCTACGTACAATAAACACAGAGCGAACGTTAGCGCAGAGCCTGGCCTACGAACAATAAACACAGAACGAACGTTAGCGCAGAGCCTGGCCTACGAACAATAAACACAGAACGAACATCAGCAATTAGTATTACTTCTCGTGGTACAGTAATGGTTTTGAAAGAGGTGCACTAGGTGAGCTACAAATTGTCGCTGGGAAAACCTACCAGAGAATGGCTTCTGACCTTTAGGTTCTCTCTGTCCTACCCCTTCATTTTCTCACCAAAGCCGAAAAAGATGCACCTCTCTCGCTCTCTGTCCCTCTCAGGCCTAGCCTTTCCCTACCATATATCTGGGAAACTGACAGTCCAGCCTGGGAATGAGTAGTGAATCAATGAGCAGTGACAACTGTGACAACTGGAAAACAGATTTTTGATCCCAGTTACAGCCACTCTGAGTGGCTACTGGGCCAATGGCTCTGGGCTGTACTGTCTGGGTAGAGGATGGGGTGGAGGACTCTGGAGCATTCCATCAGGTGGGCACTGAAAAACTTTGACATTGCCAAGTCCAGGGGCTGGTCCAAGGAAGGGAGGCCTTAACGTGTGCTGCGTGAATGACCACACCCAAGGGCCCCCTGAGCCCAGTGCCCTGCTAAGACAGACTGCAGGCAGCATTACACCCAATGATCGCTGACCTCCTCTTGGGCTGAGCTGCTCTGGCTATGAAGTGTGGGTGTGACAGGGCTGCTCCGAGTACTTCCCCCAGGACCCTCACCCACCAGAGTCTGTTCCCTGAGCTCCTCCTGCCTCCCTGCTCTGGGCCCCTGGATTCTACACTGAGATTGGAAGATGACTCTGAGAGCAAGAGAAGAAATTTTGTTTTTTTTCATTCTCTGCTTGGAATTGTGGCCCAGAGGGATTCCATCAAGAGCTAAGCACCAGCTCTGCCATCAAATGGCTATGACACAGAGTGAATCATGTTCCCTCTTGGGAGCCTGTTTCCTGGTGTGTAAAATGAGGAAGTGATGATCTCTGAGGTGTCTCTCATTGTTAGCATGTCAAGTTCCCACAGACTTTCAAAAGTAGAAATGTTGTCTCAGACCTTTTCTCACCAAGATGAAGACTCTGACGTCTGTGCCTCCCTTGCTGGCCAGAGTGCAATTATAGAGAAAATTTAGATTATTTTCATTAATATTCTCTATGCGCAATATTCTTGAAGCATGCCATTTGCCTTCTGAGGTCCTGCAAGAGAAAAAGAATTTAGCAGTAGGCTTTGTTCATTACCAGCAAAATTACCGTTGAGAGACGAATCCACATATTTAAATACTTAAAAGGAGACTGGCTGGTGCAAACGGATTGTGACCAGATGCTAACTTAAAGGTTGCTGGTTTGAATGCACCCAGCAGCATCGTGGAAGAAAGGCCTGGGGATCTGCTTCTGTAAAGATCACCTCCAAGAAAGCCCTATGGAGCTCACTTCTACGCCATAACACGTGGGGCTGCCATAAGTTGGGATCAACTCGACGGCAAGGGGAAAAGAATATTCAAAGGCAGGTACCAGGTTTCTTTCCCTTCTGGTACATATGTTTAAAGTACAGGCTTCAGTGAGTCTCCTCCTGCTCTGGGGAGCACCCAAGCTGATAATGGGAGCCCTTCCTGAGGCCAGCTGGGGACAGTGCTTTCAACTACCCAGAATTAAAATGCCTGGAAGGTAATGATGACAACTCAAAAATACAAGAAAATATTCAATCTCGCCCTTGTTTTTCCCTTATTTCTCCCCTCCTAACTACTCAGAGGAGCCCTAGTGGTACAGTGGTTAAGAGCTACGGTTGCTAACCAAAAGGTCGGCAGTTCGAATCCACCACGCTCCTTGGAAAGCCTATGGGACAGTTCTACTCTGTCCTATAGGGTCGCTATAAGTGGGAATCGACTCGACAGCAACGGGTTTGGTTTAACTACTCAGAGCTCCTCCCACAGTGAGGTCTACACCAACTGTGACAAGGCTGCAAGTTGTTTAACTCACAAGATACGGATGTATATCAAGTTTGCTCCTGCAATCCTGAAGATCGCTTTGTTTTGTGAAGACATTAAAAGAGAAAACTATTCTCAGATATTCCCCAAGGCGTGCGAAAAATACTCGCTAAGCTGCTGAGTGACTGTCAGAAAGTGGCTTAAGACAACCGCTGGCAGCAGGCACTCTTCGTCTTTCTCAAAGGACATCAGGTTGTCCCATCATCGATGTGAGGCAAATGCTCACCACATTAGCTTCCCTCTGAAGGTGCCCCTCCAGGCAGCACTGTCATGTGGATGCATTCAGGCGACTTACTGCTATACCAGGTGTCTCTAGTGACCCCACTATAGCCTCCAGCTGTCTCAAGCATGTTCTAGAATATAATTTCACATATCTAAAACTGATGAAAACCTAGAAGGAAGCCACAAAAGGCCACTGAGAAGCCAAAATAGATGACATAAAAAGCCCATCCACCCAAGTATAAAGACCTCCTAGCTCTCCTAGATTAAGCTCCATTTCTAGTAAGCGTGCTTAGCTGGTCTTCCATCCCGTTGTCTTAGTTTGGGTTCTGCAGAGGAGAAATCGAGAGCTAGAAGAAGGAAACAAGGAACTCCAGCGGGGGACAGTTGCTAAGGATAAGATACGTTGGCAGGACAGCTGGGCAATTTAACTGAATTCAAAGTTCACTGGATACTAATTGCATGCCTGGGTGGCACACATGGTTTCCTCTTGGCTACTAACCTATAGGTTGGCAGTTTGAACCCACCCAGTGGTACCACAAAAGAAAGGCCTGGTGAGCTGCGTCCATAAAGATTACAGCCAAGAAAACCTTATGGAGCAGTTCTGCTCAGTGACACATAGGATCACCATGAGTTGGAACCAACTAGATAATGGGTTTGGTTTTTTTGTTTTAGCAGCATGCCTAATCCTGGGCAAGGAGCTAAAAAAGCAGAAAGAAAAAAAAAATTCAAAAAGCACAGTGGCCTATGGTGCTAGATACCTTGGGATCACCATTGACTAGAACCTAAATGTATCAGTATAATAATTAATAATAACAACAATAGCTAAAGTAATTAAGAAAAGCTTAAATGACTATATACTTAGTAAATTTTTTAATAAGGCAGGACATTCCTTAATGGGAAGATATAGGAGATGTAAATATTAATAATATTAATATTAATATTGGACATGTTGACAGGAGGGACCAGTCCCTAGAGAAGGACACGCTTGGTAGAGGGTCAGCGAAAAAGAGGAAGCCCCTCAATGAGATGGACTGACACAGTGGCTGCAACAATGGGCTCAAACATAGCAAGGATTGTGAGGATGGCGCAGGACTAGGCTGTGTTTCATTCTGTTGTACAAAGGGTCGCTATGAGTTAGAACTGACTCGACAGCACCTAACACAACAACAAATATTCATATACGTTCTTTAGAACTTTTTTCACACACACTGCTTTTTAGATATTTCTACCTAACCACTGCACTGTCTGCAGACTGAAGGTGCTTTTCTTACCTCTCTTCACTGTTCTCCTAAGTTTCCTTAAGTGAACGTGACAGGAAAATGCAATAATAATTAGGCTTAACGTCAGTCCGCCAACAGTGAACATCAGCAGGGACAGACTACCAGCAATTTACATTAGTGTTTCCCTGAAACATAACTTACAATCTCTGGAAGTCTTTCTGTACCAGATAAAACTTCTCAATTCCCATCTTTCATAATCACCGTAACTGATGTTCTAAAAAGAAATAAACTATCTCTAACAAGGCAGGAGGCAATATTTATGTCCACATATCTCGTGCTCATCAAAGGAATTCCCAAAACACACGCAAAACTGTCTTCAAATGACTGTTTCCTTCTTTGTGATTTTCTGTATTTCCCAAGTTTCTTATAATGAATTATTTTCAATAATCAGAAAAAAATAAAAGTGTGTGTGTACAGGATGTAAGTCTTGGAGAGGTGGTAGTAGATGGCGTTGACCTTGGCTGCAGCCAGGGTCCTGCAGGGAAAGGTACTGAGGATGCACCCTGCAGCATGCACACTCCCAGCTTATCCCTCCACAGATGCATGAGCCCTGGTGAGGCAGCTCATGCACATGAGGGAGCCAAATTAACTTATGCCTGTTCCAGGCTCCTGACCCATTCTTTTCTCAGGCACATTAGTAAAAACCAAGCATTTAACAGACTTGTCATAGATTGAACTGCATCCCCCCAAAAATATGTGTCAACTTAGGAAGCCATGATTCCCCATATTGTGTGGTTGTCCTCCATTTTGTGATCTGATGTGACTGTCCTATGTGTTGTAAATCCTAATCTCTGCCTTCAGGAAGCAAGATTAGGTTATGTTAAAGAGGATCAGGGTGGGATGCAACACCTTACTCAGGTCAAAGCCCTGATCATATGTAAGGGGAGCTTCCCTAAGGTGTGGCCTGCATCACCTTTTATCTTACAAGAGATAAAAGGAGAGAAGTGAGCAGAGAGAGTGGGACCTCCTACCACCAAGAAAGAAGAGCCAGGAGCAGAGTGTGTCCTATGGACCTAGGGTCGTTGCACTGAGAAACTCCTAGTCACAGGGGAAGATTGATGACAAGGACCTTCCCCCAGAGGCAACACAGAAAGAAAGCCTTCCCCTAACATACACGGGCTCCCTGAACTTGAACTTCTAGCCTTCTAAACTGTGAGAGAAGAAATTTCTGTTTGTTAAAGCCACCCACTTGTGATATTTCTGTTATGGCGTCACTAGATAACTAAGACACCACTTTTCAAAATCCAAAAGAACTGGGGCCTTGGTAATTGCTCTTTTATAAAAGATGCTTAGAGAAAATCCCCACCCCCATCAGACCCTGACCAAAATCTACCTCTAAAAGGTAACACTGAACGGTCTCATTGACTTCTTTTTCTAGTTTAGATCTCTGCGATAATTTCTGCATAATCCATCAACCTACAGTTTAGAAGTTACAATTAGTTATAATTATAAAACTATGATTATAATTTAACCTAACTCCAAATACTACATCAGTCAATTAGGAATCCAGTGTTTCTTATAACATTACATACATACTTAATTTTTATTTCTTGCTCTTCATGTAAATTATGATCTGTTTCATTTTCTTTCCTGAAGTTCCAATAAACTGTATCATCTTTATTGAGCAGAGCAGAGCAGTTGAGCTGTTCACTTTTTCCTAGGCAAAAGTTGACAACCAGTGTTCAGGTTTTAGAAACTCAGATTTACCAGGGGTTTTAAATTAATATAACCAATGTATGTGAAACAATCTGGTACACAACACAGTGCTACATCCTAGAAAGAATCCCAATATGCCTTGTTTTAAGGAATTAAAAAAAAAATGTATAAGGCAGACAAATTAGGAAGCAATTATGTCTCACTTCCAGACCATGAATCAGCTTCTTCTAGGCACATCAAAATCAAAGATAAAGAGAAAATTTATTTTTAAATCAACTATTAAAACTTAAAGTGGCCAGTGGACTTTCTTTTCAGTACACAGTTTAGTAGGTAATGTCAGGGCATTACTCCCACTGCAACTTCTAGAAAAAAAAAAAAAACAGACAAATCCCACAAAGAAATATATTAAAAGCATCAGTGTGCAGGGGAAACAAGCAGAAGCAGTTGAGTTGAATGTACAATTAGGAAAGCGCCCTTTTTAGGTGAGATAAGACTGCCAGCCATTTTATGTAGTAGAAGATGCTCACAGAGGAAGAAAAAGCATAAATTGGAGTTTTTAACAGCCCCATGGGATGGCATGATGGATTTGAACATGGAAAATCCCCAAATGCGAGGTATTTGTCTCACAGGATATTTTCTAGGTGCTTGGACACTCTGCAAAGACAGAATGAAATCTCCTTCAGTCCCATGGTACTTAGGAGACCAGGTCCTATGAGGGGAGAGACAGGGCAACAAACACATGCCTGCCATCTCCCCAAGTTACTGAAGATGAGAGGAAGACAGAATCTAACTAACCTCCAACCCAGCCACCACTCGATTTCTGATGGATTACAATGATCAGCCCTCACACTATCGGCCTCGTAGAGCAAAACGGCAAACACTCCCAGAGAAAAATAACACAAACTTCATTCACGTTGGTTGTTGGATACACAAAGATCAGGAAACAATAAAAAATTAAGATAGATGCAAAGAGGCAGAGAAATGTGAAAAATAATCAACAGAAAATAGATAATGGGAGCAGACCCACAGACGATACAGGTGCTGGGTTTAGCATACAAAGACTTTGGAATAGCTACTATACATAGGTTAAAAAAAAATAAGAAAAAGGTGGACAAATAAATGAAGAGATAGACATTTAGTAATAATAGTAATCTATGAAAAAGAAGAATAATCTGTAAAACAAAGAATAGTAATCTATAAAAAAATGAATCAAATGTGCATTCAGGAACTGAAAACTCCAGCACATGAAATGAAGAACTCACTGACTGGGCTTAACAGCCAACTGGACATCGAAGATGGCATGATTATTGAACTTGAATTTAAGCCAAGATCAAAACTAAATCATAGAGAAAAATAAGAATGAAAATAACAGAGCTGTGCCTAAGAGGCATGTAGGACATAGTAAATACATATAATTGGAGTTCCAGAAGGAGAGGAAATAGGGAAAGCGGAAGAAGAAATATTCAAAGTGATAATGGCAGAAAATTTTTCAAAACTGATTAACTACATTCACAAGAAGCTCAGTGGAATTTATCCTAAGCACATCAAAATCCACATCCAAGAGGGAATCTTGAAAGCAGCCAGAAGAAACATACACATCAAAGGCGGAACAACAAGACTGAAGGTTCACTTCTCAACAGAAGTTAAAGAAGCGGGTGAGCGAAAGCAGGGCAGCTTAAACTGCAGGACAGAACTGCCAACCGAGAAATCGTTACCAAAATAAAACACTCTTCAAAGCTGAAGGGAAAATAAAGATGTTTCCGGGTGTCTTAGTTTGCTAACGCTGCTGTAACAGAAATACTACAAGTGGGTGGTGTTAAAGAACGAAAATTAATTTTCTCACTGTTCAGGAGGCTAGAAATTCGAATTCAAGGCACCAGCTCTAAGGGAAGGTTCTCTCACTGCCAGCTTCTCTAGCCTCAGCATTCCTTGGCTCCTTGGCATCTCTACATGGCATCTATATTTTCCCCATTTTTGCTCATGTGTCTCTGTGCCTAATCAGCTCTTTTCATATCCCAAAGTGATTAGGCTTATGACACATCCTATACTGATATGGCCTCATTAACGTAGCAAAGAAAATCCTATTCCCGAATAGGATTACATGCACAGGTATAGGGGTTAGGATTCCAACAGGTATTTTGGGGGACACCATTCAATCAACAACACCAGGTGAAAAACAGCTGAAAGAAATTCTTCAGGCTCAAGAAAAATAATCTTAGATGAAGGGAAAGAAATACATGAACAAATGAATAGCACAAGAAAACACAAATATTTAGGTAATTACAAATGAATTTTGATTAGTTGAAGCAATAATAATTATAATATCTTGTGAGGTTTATAACACATATAGAAGAAAAATATCTGAAAAAAGTGCAGGAAGTGGATGAATGAAGTTAAACTGTTGTAAGATTCTAGCACGCTGGTGAGAAGTTTAAATATACTAATGTTTACATTTGTCTTATTGTAACAAGACATGATACCGTAATCTCTCAAAGAAAGACTAATGAATGATTTTTAAAAAGGATGACCAGAAGGATGACAAAGCAGATGAAATAAAGAAAAAGCACATTACTAATCCAAAAGTAAAAGGAGAATAAAAGAAATAACATAGGAAACAGCCAGAAAACAGATAATGAAACAAGAGACTTCAAAACCAACTATATTATTAACTTATTAAAGTAAATGCACTGTTAACTATATAGACTGGATTTCAAAAAAGATTCAAATATATGCAATTTATGTGAGACATACTTTATATATAAGGACAAAGAAAGACTGAAAGTAAAAGGATGTAAAAGAAGATAAAACATGCCAATCTTAAACAAAAGAAAACCGGTGTGGCTGTTTAATATAGAGTTCTTGGGTAGTACAAACAGTTAAGCACTCAGCTACTAACCGAAAGGTTGGAAGTTCAAAACCACCCAGAGGCTCCTCAGAAGAAAGGCCTGGATGTCTATTTGTGAAAAATCAGCCACTGAAAACCCAGTGGAGCACAGTTCTACTCTGACGCACATGGGGCGTCCATGAGTCGGAATGGACTCTTGACGGCAGCTGGTTTTTTAGGCACTGAGAAATACAGACTATGATAGAGAGATTTCGTAATGATAAAAGTGTTAGTTCAACAGTCACAAATCTGAATGTGCCCACAAAATAGCCTCAAAATACATAAAGCAAAAATTGACAGAACTAAAGAAGATATAGACAAATTGGCCTTCGTAGCTGGAGACAATAACGTATCTCTCTCGGGAACTGATAAAGCAAGCAAGCACACACATTAGTAAGTATACAGATAATTTCAACAACACCAGTAATCAACTTAACCTGACTGACATTTAGAGAATGATAAAACCAAAACCTGCAGAAAACACAATTTGTTTCAAATGCACTTGGAACAATCATCAAGATACGTCCTAGTCTGGCTTTAGTAAACTATTACAAATTTCAACAGATTGAAATGACACAGTGTATAGTCTTGGACCACGATGGAATTAAACTGGACATCAATAACGGAAAAATAAGTAGAAAATGCTCCAATAATAGGCAATTAAGAAACACAAATAATCCATAGATGAAATAACAAATCACAAAGGGAATTTAAAAAGTTGTTTTGAATTGAACAGTAAGGAAAATAGGACATATCAATCTTGTTAGAAACAGCTAACATAGCTCTCAGAAGGAAATTTAGAGCTTAAAATGCACATATTAGAAGAGCGGATAACTGAATTAGTTCTCTTAACTCTCTACATCAACAAGCTAGAAAAAGAGTACAAATGAAGCCCAAAATGAGAAGAAAGAAAGAAAGAATGAAGATAAGACAAAATTGAAATAGAAAGTAAGGAAATCACAGGTACCAATGACATAGTATCAGAGCCACTTTGGACATTAAAGCCAAAAAAATCATTGTGGTCAAAAAGTGTGGGCTTTGGATATAATCAACTCAGATTTGCATCCCAGTTCTGCCGCTTTCCAATGGTTTTATTATAGCAACTTACTTAACCTTTCTGAGTTCTGGTTCTTTTAATCCATAAAATGGGAACAATGCCCCACAGAGATCATGGGAGGATTTAATTCAATAATGCTACAATCACCTAACATGTTACCTGGTTTACTGTAAGTACTTGTCGTTGTTGCTCTTGTTAGTTGCCATAGAGGCGATTCCGACTCATGGGGACCCCATGCATGCAGAGTAGAACTGCCCCATAGGGTTTTCAAGGCTGTGACCTTGCAGAAGCAGATCACCAGGCCTGCCTTCCAAGGGCACCTAGGTAGGTTCCACAGCCAGCCTTTCGGTTAGTAGTCGAGCACTTAACCATTTGCACCACCCAGGGACTCCTATGGTAAGTGCTCGGCATACGTGAATTTCTCCCTTTCCTTTTTGAAAAAATTAGTCAACTGGACATGTTGATTCATAAGACCTGTCTAGACAATTCCCAAATGTACCGTCAATTCAGTCGATTGATTAAAAATGAATCAATAAACCAATTATTCAAACCACACAATGATTTATCCAGAGTGTTCTCACTAAACTTCTGTTATGGATTGAAATGTCTCCCTAAAAAATTTGTGTTGTAAATCCTAACCCCTACAAGCACTGGGCTGCTAACTGAAAGGTCGTTGGCTGGAACTCACCAGCCGCTCCAGGGGAGAAAGATGTGGCAATCTGATTCCATAAAGATTACAGCCTTGGTTTCTACTCTGTCCTATAGGGTCGCTATGAGTTAGAATCAACTCAAAGGCAATGGTTTTTCTGGTTATACCTGTGGTTATAATCCCATTTGGGAATGGGTTTTCTTTCTTAGTTAATGAGGCAGTATTAGTGGAGGGTGTGTCTTAAACCAGTCTCTTCTGAGATATAAAAGAGCAGTTTAAGCAAGCAAGCAAGAAAAGGAAGCTGAGAGATGGGGAGAAGTAGATGCCATACCACCTGAAGATCACCAAGGAGCCAAGGAACAGAAGCTGGAGAGACAAGGACCTTCCCCCACAGCCGACAGAAAGAGAAAGCCTTCCCCTAGAGCCAGTGCCCTGATTTCCAACCTCCCGCCTCCTAACAGTGAGAAAATAAATTTCTGTTTGTTGAAGCTACTTGCTTGTGGTACTTCTGTTATAGCAGCACTAGATAACTAAGACAATTCTTGTATTCAGAAATAACCATAGAGACTATTAGAGAAAAACCACACCCGGAGTGTTTAACACCTCAGTCTACAAACCAGTCAGTTCCACAGACTTCTGGACAGACTGTTCATCTCAATCCATCTAAAGGTGGCAACGCTCAAACAATGGCAGGCTTTTCCTGATTTTTATATATTTTTTTTTTTTTTTTACTAAATATGAAATGTGTTATCCATACATTATTGATCAAAAATTAATCAGATTTACCCTTGGAAGATTTAATTATGCCCCCCATTCATAAATGCAGAATACATGTACATCAAAATATACCTAATTCCACTTCAATCTGGTTAAACTTTGGTCCAAGAAGAACTGGAGTTATACTATTGTAATCTGAAAGTGAAAAAAGAAAAGAAAAATGCATCAGTACTGTGTAAAGCTTCTCTAAGACAGACATTTGGCATCATTTGCTTTTTCAATGTAACAAAGATTGTAATAGTCAGCCCTTTACATGTACTTTAATTGTATCTTCACTGAAAAAATGTTGCAGCTAATATTGATTATTGTGTCCTTTCAATCAAGTCCAGGTTCACATAACTGGAGATAGTACATTCAATCTAGTTTTCTCTCAACTCAAATACATGGCTTCTGCTCACCACAGCTGAAAACAGAGGAAGATGCTTCTCCAGAGAGACTGCGAGAAGACCTATGACGTGTTCAGGGGAACAGGTGGGCAAGAACGGGAGAATCAAACCAGCACGTGGAAGACCATGCTGAGAGTCAGGTCTGAATTCTCCTGGGATTCAAACATGTCTGCTTCCAGGCAGGTATGAGGAATCAGGAAGCCTCCAGAGAATGAGCATATGAGGAGTATGAGCTTGATGCAGAGACAAAGGGGCAGGAGGTGATTTTGTGTAATGTGGAAAAATCGTTACTGCTATCTTTCTCTAAGGAGCCCTGGTAGTACAAACAGTTAAGTGCTCAGCTGCTAACTGAAAAGTTGGCATTTCGAACCCACCCAGTGGCTCCTCGGGAGAAAGACCTGGAGATCTGCTTCCATAAAGATTACAGTCATGAAAACCCTATGTGACATTTTTATTCTGTCACATAGGGTTGCTGTGAGTTGAAAATTACTCAATGGCACCTAACAACGACAACAACATCTTTCTCTGGATCCATCTTTTTTCTCAGGCAATCATGTAAGACCCTTGAGAAAAAGTGGTGTAAAGGATGACATTTACAAAAACTTGAATTATGTCACTGGAAACTCAGAGCAGCACTGGATTCTGTTACAAAGTGAAGGATGCAGTTCCATATGAGGTAACAGAATTAAAATGGCACATCAGTGTATGCATGTGGCGTGACTTGTCTGCTTATGAAGCTAACATCACAGAATCAGGATGGCACAGAGATTATCAGCAGCAGACGGAGACATCACCATAGTAGCCAGGGCACGAGATGAGGAAAATGTCAGGTAGGGGTCAAGAGGGTTGAACTCAAGCCCAAGGCAACGGTGCTCACCATGTGGTAGCTGAGAGATCTATGTCCATGACCACATGTGAACTATAATAAAAACACAACATAGAGAAAGTGGAGGCTCAGAGTCCCACTGTCCTAAGGATATATCATAACGCCTCTTGACTATTGATTTTTGACTCCAAGCTCCACGTTTTAGAAGACTTACGGCAAACTTCAGCAAATTCAAAGGAAAATGATCAGGGTGGTGAAGAATCTAGACTTCTTATTTATAGGGCATGGTTGAAGGGACTGTTGCTGACACGATAATTTGTTCAATAGATATGTGATGAGCACCTACTATGTGTCAAGTGCCAGACACAGGTATGGAAGATGCAAAGACGAAGAAGAGAACCCGGTTCAATCCCTTCTTTCCAGAGGCTTCTCAGTCTCTAACAGAGACAGACATGTAAAGGACTTCTGAAGCAATCTGAAATGTGCAATCAGAAAGCAGCAGTGGGGGTACAAGGAGAAGTGACAGTTGAGCGGAGTCCTGAAAGATGCTGGCATTCTCTAAGAAGACAAGGAAAATAAGATGGGCAGCTAATACAAAGAGAACAACACGTGCAACAGTGTGGGGATGTGGGGACAAGGCAGTGGGAAATGGTAATAATTATGATAGAGCTTTCTATGTGGCTGGTATCATTCGAAATGCTTTACACACATCCACTCACACAATCCTCAAGCCAACTCTATGAGGGAGGTACCATTACTGTCCCATTTTACTAATGAGGAATCCAGGACATAGAGAAAGTAAGTAATCTAACTTGCCCCAGGTCACAACCTCACAGGGCTATTGTGAGGGCTATTTGAGACAATTCAACTAAAGTACCCAGTACAACTCCTGGCCTGTAGTTAGCACCCTTTCTATGATGGACATTCTTATTGCTCTTTCCAGGAAGGAAAAAGTTGATGGACTGAAAGCAAAGACAGGGTGGGCAATGTTGGTGGTGGAGGTGTTAAGAAATCAGAGATTTATAGGAGATTAAAGAATACATATATATATGAATAAAAGTAAAACTGAAGAATTATAGGGTAGATGATTACATACAGGATTTGAGATTTTTAAGTTTCAGAATTCAAAGTTATTAGATTCCCAGGTTATGAGCTGTGGTAAGCACAATCATGCCTCCCCAAAGACGTCCATATCCCAGTTCCTAGGTACTGTGAATACAGCACTTTACATGGCAAAAGGGATTTTGCATATGTGATTAAGTTAAGGATCTTGAGATGTGGAAATGATCTTGAATTATTCGGGGTGAGGGGACCCAAAGTAATCATAAGGGTGCTTAATAAGAGGGAGGCAGAGGCAGACATGTCAGACAAGGAGATGTGATGACAGAAACAGAATTCACAGAAAGGGAGACATTGAGATATCTAGCTAGCTAGATAGCTAACTAGCTAGCTAGGTAGATGATAGATTAGATAGATTAGATAGGTGGATGGATGGATGGATGGATGGATGGATGGATGGATGGATGGATGGATGGATGGATACGAAGATGCTATGCTGTGGGCTTTGAAGATGAAGGAATGCAGGGAACCCTCTAGAAGCTGAAAAACGTAAGGAAATGGATTCTCCTCTAGAGCCTCCAGAAGGAATGCAATCCTACTGACACCTTGATTTTGGTCTAGTCAACTCATTTCAGACTTTTTACCTACAGAAATGTAAGATAATAAATTCTATTGTTTTAAGCCTCTTAAGTTTTTTTTTTTTTTTTTAATAGCAGTGATACATGGGCAGATAGCCATATCAGTGGATGGCTGAAGTAAAGAGGAAAAAATGTTGCTAAAGCAAAAGAGATCTATAACTGCAAGTCCACGATTTTGTTGAATAAGTCATCCATATGGGGTTTCAGGTTTCCCAGGATGATGGAAAAGAAAAGTCTAGGGTGGATAAGTCATCCATCTTCAAATATCAGAAGGAGATGTCATTTTAAGAAGGGGCTAGACATAATTTGTAATCTTGTTCTAGTGGATAGAAATTACAAGGAGGTACATTTAGACTCAATGGGCAAAAAAAGGACTTCTCAACAATTATATATTAGAATCTGGACTTAGCTTTGCATGATTTGGTAATTTCCTTGGTAATTCCCAAGACAGATGATCAATTACTGGCTGTGCCATATGAAGGATATTTTCACTGGGTGAGGTTTAATTAAATTACCTCACATACTTTGGCCATGTTATCAGGAGGGATCAGTCCCTGCAGAAGGACATCATGCTTGGTAAAGTAGAGGGTCAGCGAAAAAGAGGAAGACCCTCAATGAGACGGGTTGACACAGTGGCTGCAACAATGGGCTCAAACATAACAACAACTGGAGGATGGCGCGGGACCCCGCAGTGTTTTGTTCTGTTGTACATAGGGTCGCTGTGAGTTGGAACCAACTCCATGGCCCCTAACAACAACAATAAGCCCGTCACTCCAAAATGCTAGCCTTCTGTTTTTCTGTTATACATCCTCTGGGTTTGTAACAAGCCAGACCATTAGCCATCCTCCCAAAATGCACAGCCCTTTCCCACCACCATCCCTGTATTTCTATCATTTTCTTAGCCTGGAGTGGCCTTTCCCCAGCATGTCCGGCCCATCCATCACGCACAACCTCTAAGACCCAGCTCAAAGAGTGCCTCCTGCCTCTGTTCAATCTCCATACTCTCACTGTGTTCTATTAACGCCTCACATAGGACACCTGCTTTATAGCCATGGTACCTGTATGTGGCTTACTGGCTCCTCTGGACTATAAATTCCCTGCAAATAGCATGTTACCCACATATTCATATTTCACATTTCTCTGCTTCCCTTGTCTCCCAGTGCTCAGTATACTTTCTTTGACATAAACCAGTCGATTTCGATTCTGACTCATGGCAATGCCATGTGTATCAGAGTAGAACTATGCTCCGTAGGGTTTTCAATGGCTGAGTTTTTGGAAGTAGATTGCCAGGCCTTTCTTCACAGGTGCCTCTGTGTAGACTCAAGCCTCCAACCATTTGTTTAGCATGCTAACTGCTTGCATCACCCAGGGACTCCTCATTCAACGTAGATGTCCTCGATAAATATTTGTTCAGTGAAAAAACATAACTTTAACTACCAAAGATTCCACAATGTACTCAAATTCCAAATAAGAGAGAGCTGACTCAAGTAAGATTCACCCATATAAACTTTCACTCTTTCACTTATAGACAAAAAAAAAATTCTACCCAGTGGATGGATGCCAAAATCAAGATTTTGAGCCTCACACTTAAACTAGTGATGTGATCACAGCTCCAACTAAGTCTCCTCTGATTTCCTATGCTACTTTATTTATTTATTGTTGTACTTTGAGTGCAAGTTTACAATTCAAGTTAGTTTCTCATACAAAAATTTATACACACATTGTTATGTGACCCTAATTGCTCTCCCTATACTGTGACAGCACACTCCCCCTTTCCACCCGATTTCCTGTGTCCATTCAACCATCTCCCGACCCTCTCTGCCTTCTCATCTCACCTCCGGACAGAAGCTGCCCATTTAGTCTCATGTATCTACTTGAGCTAAGAGGCACACTCTTCACGAGTATCATTTTATGTCCTATAGTCCAGCCTAATCCTTGTCTGAAGAGTTGGCCTCGGGAATTGTTTTAGTTCTGGGTTAACAGACAATCCGGAGGCCATGCATTCTGGAGTCCCTCCAGTCTCAGTCAGACCATTAAGTCTGGTCTTCTTACTGGAATTTGAGTTCTGCACCCCACCTTTCTCCTGCTCCATCAGGGACTCTCTGTTGTGTTCCTTGTCAGGGCAGTCATTGGTAGTAGCCTGGCACCATCCTATGCTACTTTAGAAAAAGGGAAAAATTAAGTTTTACACAGATAAATTTTTCCTCCCAAATTCTAAAAATTTTCTCACCTCCAGCTATTGTTACATTGAAGGTTTTGGTGACATTAAATAGTTTTCCATTGTAATGAAGGGAAAACACGCAGGTGTAATATCCCTGATCTTCAAACTCTGCATTCTTCTCAAAAGTGTTTCCTCTGATCTCTATCTGTTCACAGTTCTGTTTTTTAAAAAGCAAATTAAAATAGTTTAAGTAAACGGAGAATTCATATTATGATGATTCAAACTTTTAAAGTTAAAAATCTGTAGAGGAAAAGGGAAACAGAAAACTAGAAAATCTGGAGTAAAAGTCCCAGTGGTTTGGCACTGTTTCTATTATAACAATGAAATGCAGTCCTATTACTGTCTTTCTCATCAGTAATATATGCTAGGAAATGGGACATAGTAGGCATTGTAACCATTTTTATCACTTTATTTCAATCTCTCTCTTTCTGTCTCTCCCTCCCTCTCTCTGTCTCTGTCTCCCTTCCTTTCTCTTTCTCTCTTCCACACGCTCACACAGAGAACATAAAGAATCCCTGCTTGTGTCAAAACATTCAGCAAAAAAATTCTATTTCAGAACACTTACAGTGGAATTCTGTGTTCTCAGAACTACCCATCCTGGAGGGTGTTTAGTAGAGTTGGGGGCAGAATTACTCAGAGAACTAAGTCCCCCACAGATGGCAAACCTCCCTTGATATCCTCCATCAGAAAGCAGTGGACTGGTTAAGAATGCATCAAAAATATTCAAATCTATAGGCACACTCAAACATCGCTCTCTCACAAATGTCCATGTATGTCACAGAAATTAAAACAAACAGAAAAAGAGTTGTCTCCTTCTCTCTAACCTCCAGTCACCCACAGGGAAGCACTGAAGAAATCCAGGGACAAGACGGGCAAAACGGGAGCTGAACTGCTGATCCTGGCCATTTGTCACTATTCCTGCTAATATCACATTGGAGAACTGATTGTCCACAAATCTCTCCCGCAAAGCTGGACAACATAGGTGGCAACTGGGGCTAATCTCAGTTGGGGGTGGGGGTTTGAGAAGCACCCACAGGTGTACCTTGTATCCGTAAATTGTTTGCATATAAGGCAAATTTTTATAAACCCAAACTGAGTTTTTCCAAGACTTAAATTAAGCTATCACCACTGCCAACTGCTGTTAAGTCAGCTCCAACTCATGGTGACCCCATGTGTGTCAGAGTAGAACTGAGCTCCACAGGATTTTCAATGGCTGATTTTTCAGAAGTAGATCACCAGGCCTATCTTCTGAGACATCTCAGGGTGGACTCAAACCTCCAACTTTTTAGTCCCACACAGGGACTCCTATTAAAATATCAGAGAGGCTGATTTTCACTTCCAATCAGTCCTTTACTGATTTAGCTCCCTTGCTCTTCTGCCCTCAGGTAAGTTATGATCAGTAAACAGTGCTTTTACTACATTAGAATACTCAACCTTGTGATGAACTGTCTGCCTAAAAATATCCTTGACACATCAATTTTCTAAATTTAAATGTCTGCACGTTGGGATTTCTTAAAAGCCAGTATATGAAACCTCATAAATTTACATGTACTGTAAAAATAGCTACACTACAAAACCCAAACCCATTGCTTTTGAGTCAATTCCAACTCATAGTGACCCCATAGAACAGAGCAGAACTGCCCCAGAGGGTTTCCAAGGCTGTAAATCTTTACACAAGCAGACTGTTGCATCTTTCTCCCACAGAGCAGCTGGTAGGTTCGAACAGTTGACCTTTTGGTTAGCAGCCAAGCGCTTAACCACAGCACCACCAGGGCTCCTTATCTACACTACACTTGACAGGAAATAGGAATAGGAATTGACTCAAAGGCAATGGGTTTGTTTTGTTTTTGTTTTTTTGTTTTTTTTTAGGAGTAAGGTCAACTCAGGACTGATTTGGACATTTAGAAAACCTCTCAGATATGAGCACTCCTTGAAATTCATAAGTAAATAGTGCTCATGCAAAAGATACAAACAAAAGTTTCTGCAAAATCATTAGCAATTGCTTAAACTTTCCCAAGCTGTTCTATTCAGACCACCCTCTCACGAGTCTTTAAAATTTCCATGATAGAGTCAGATTACTCAGGTTTGTTTCTCTTTCAAAATGGTACAATTTGCATTAGCTGTTGTGTTTGTGTATGTGTGTTTGTGCATATGCGTATCTCCACAGTAATGTCTAAAAGAGCTCTTAAAATCAACAAGAAAAAGTTACATCAAAATCCATCCACCTACAGTCACCTGATCTTTGACAAGGGCCCAAAGTCCATTAAATGGGGAAAAGACAGCCTTTTTAACAAACGGTGCTGGCAAAACTGGATATCCATCTGCAAAAAAATGAAACAGGACCCATACCTCACACCATATACAAAAACTACTTCAAAATGGATCAAAGACCTGAATATAAAGCCTAGAACTATAAAGTTCATAAAAGAAAAAATAGGACCAACACTTCAGGCCTTAATATATGGCATTAACAGGATACAAACCATAACCATCAA